TGCAAACTGCTGATTCTTGGTACATGAAAGGGAAAATAGAGGTTGGAGGATTTATCATGGGCATAGCATATCTAAGCCTGGGGCATATGTTTACTGCCTTGACTATGGAGACAGTTTTGCACATATGCAAAAGCCAGCATTATGCTCTTCTTAAATATTTTTGGTTTATTGTATGTCAGTTTTTGTGGTATCTAATAAACAACAACAATTTCCATTTACAAGGATTAACTTTTAATGCACTAGAATATACAAATTCACATCACTTGTTCCCTCTCAAATTTTAAAACTATCCAAGGGGGCAGAGTGTGATGGAAGTGGCTTTCTCATATTACATATGAAAGTATTTATATCTAGACTTTACTGGGGATACTGATTGGACATATTTGCAGTTAATATATGGGTTAATTTTTTATAATCTCTAACTGTACTGAGTTGCATTCCTTGTTTTAGCAAAATACTAATATAGATTTTTATGCCCTAACAAAACGAAAGTGTTGTATAGGTGACCCACTGTAAATGAGAAAACTCCAAATAGATAAGCCCCTTAGGTTGATCTTTTGGTTTTAGAGCAATGTCACAAGAGAAAACATTTGTTAAAATGACACAAAGTGAAAAAGAGGAAACATCTTATTTTCATCCGATTTGTAAACCATCCTCTATTATAACACTCCTACTTTGGGCTATGCATAAGTACTCACTGGATAGTAGTTAATCCCTCAAATCCTAATCTTTTTAAATCAATAGGGAAACACGGGAGACTTTTTCTTAATTACTTGAACAATTTCTTGCAAATACTCTCCTCTAGGTCGCTGAAGCTTGAAGCAAGAACAAGAGTAAGGTAGAACATCACATTCCATCTTGTGTGTGTGTGTTCCACTTCCTATTTGACTATGGCTACTATTGCCAATGCTGACAGAAGAAAAATTTTCACCATCTAACGAATATTACCATGGAAGAACATGTCTAATTCAGTCATAAAGATTAAAGTTTAAGGCGGGAGAGATGGTTCAGTGGTTAAGAGCACTGATTTTCAGCGCCCACATGGTGGCTCATAACCATCTGTATTGCGAGTCTGAAAGGATCCAATACCTTCTTTAAACCTCCATGGGCACCAGACACCCATGTGGAGCATATGAATATGTAGGGTTAGGCAAAACACCGATACGCATAAAATAAATAAATCGTAGAAAATTTTTCTTTAGAGAATAAAGTTTAGCCAGTTGAGGTACTGCATACCTTTAATCTCCGCATTTGCAGCAGAGACAGGCAGATCTCTGTGATTGTGAAGCCAGCCTGGTGCAAGTTCTACACCAGCCAGTTAAATGGTATAGTGGTTTGCATGAAAATGGTTCCCAGAGACTCACATTTTTAAATGCTTGGTTCCCAGTTGCTGGACCTGTTTGGGAAGGACTGAGAGGTGCGGGCTTGTTGGACGATATGTGTCACTAGGGAAGGGCTCTGAGGTCTCAAAAGACTCCTGCACTATTCCCAGTTCGCTCTCTCTACCTCCAATTTCCACAGTGAGATATAAGCTCTCAGCTGTTCCTGCCACCATGAGGTTCCTCAAATTAAATGCTTTCTTGTATAAGTTGCATTGGTCAGGGTATTTTATTACATAGTGAGAACCTGCCCAAAACAAAAAAACAGTGAAGTTTAGCAGTAACTGTCTGTAGACTATCACTTTCAACTCCATGTGACACTAATGATACCTCGCATCATAAGTTAATATTTACCTTAAATTGAAAGTCTTTGTTCTAAGGTTCACTGTCAACTGCTCAACTGCAACGCTATTGTGTTCCACAAAAATGAATAGTCTGAATAAATACTATGTGGTCTAGATTTTTTTCTACATGATAAAATTTATCAGTAAGTCATGGTGGGATACATACTTAAGCATGACACTCAGGAGATGGAGGCAAGTAGATCTCTGTGAGTTGGAGCCAGTCTGGCTTACATAGAGTTCCAGATCAGTTACTGTTACATAGTGAGAACCTGTCTCCAAATATACATACTTACATACACACATATATACGTGATTATCAGAAACCATATCCAGATCTTCGCAAAAA